AAATATATACAGTTGAAGTCAGAAGTTTACATACACCTTAGCCAAATACATTTAAACTCAGTTTTTCACAATTCCTGACATTTAATCCTAGTAAAAATTCCCTGTTTTAGGTCAGTTAGGATAACCACTTTATTTTAAGAATGTGAAATGTCAGAATAATAGTAGAGAGAATGATTTATTTCAGCTTTTATTTCTTTCATCACATTCCCAGTGGGTCTGAAGTTTACATACACTCAATTAGTATTTGGTAGCATTGCCTTTAAATTGTTTAACTTGGGTCAAACATTTTGGGTAGCCTTCCACAAGCTCCCCACAATAAGTTAGGTGAATTTTGGCTCTTGACAGAGCTGTTGTACCTGAGTCAGGTTTGTAGGCCTCCTTGCTCGCACACGCTTTTTCAGTTCTGCCCACAACATTTCTATAGGATTGAGGTCAGGGCTTTGTGATGGCCTCTCCAAAACCTTGACTTTGTTGTCCTTAAGCCATTTTGCCACAACTTTGGAAGTATGTTTGGGGTCATTGTCCATTTGGAAGACCCATTTGCGAACAAGCTTTTAACTTCCTGACTGATGTCTTGAGATGTTGCTTCAATATATCCACATAATTTTCCTTCCTCATGATGCCATCTATTTTGTGAAGTGCACCAGTCCCCCCTGCAGCAAAGCACCCCCACAGCATGATGCTGCCACCCCGTGTTTCACGGTTGGGATGGTATTCTTCGGCTTGCAAGCCACCCCCTTTTCCCTCCAAACATAACGATGGTCATTATGGCCAAACAGTTCTATTTTTTTTCATCAGACCAGAGGACATTTCTCCAAAAAGTACGATCTTTGTCCCCATGTGCAGTTGCAAACCGTAGTCTGGCTTTTTTATGGCGGTTTTGGAGCAGTGGCTTCTTCCTTGCTGAGGTGCCTTTCAGGTTATGTCGATATAGGACTTGTTTTACTGTGAATATAGATACTTTTGTACCTGTTTCCTCCAGCATCTTCACAAGGTCATTTGCTGTTGTTCTGGGATTGATTTGCACTTTTCGCACCAAAGTATGCTCATCTCTAGGAGACAGAACGCGTCTCCTTCCTGAGTGGCATGACGGCTGCGTGGTCCCATGGTGTTTATACTTGCATGCTATTGTTTGTACAGATGAACGTGGTACTTTCAGGCGTTTGGAAATTGCACCCAAGGATGAACCAGACTTGTGGAGGTCTACAATTTTTTTCTGAGGTCTTGGCTGATTTCTTTTGATTTTCCCATGATGTCAAGCAAAGAGGCACTGAGTTTGAAGGTAGGCCTTGAAATACATCCACAGGTACACCTCCAATTGACTCAAATGATGTCAATTAGCCTATCAGAAGCTTCTAACGCCTTGACATCATTTTCTGGAATGTTCCAAGCTGTTTAAAGGCACAGTCAAACTTCTGACCCACTGAAATTGTGATACAGTGAATTATAAGTGACATAATCTGTCTGTAAACAATTGTTGGAAAAATTACTTGTGTCATGCACAAAGTAGATGTCCTAACCGACTTGCCAAAACTATAGTTTGTTAACAAGAAATTTGTGGAGTGGTTGAAAAACGAGTTTTAATGACTCCAACCTAAGTGTATGTAAACTTCAGACTTCAACTGTATATACATATACATACATACACATACATATACACATAAATACATATAAATACATAAACATACATATATACACATCCTTTTTTAAAATATATTTCCCTTTATTACTTTCCAACCCCACCACCCCTTCCCTAATTGGAGCAAACTAGTAAACAACAATGCTTAGGCCTCTACTTCCAGCTTATACATACTATATAAATTTTATGGACACAGTCAATATTACAATAATTCTATTTTGTTTGTTTTTACTCCTGAACTTCTTCTACCCTCAACATCTCCGATCCTTTTCATGATGTCCATCCGGTTTGCTTCTATATGCCATATCTTTCTAACTGTGCTCTTTCACAAAAGCTCTCAACCTATAACCTATATACTTATTATGGACACAGTATTCTTTACATTAGTTATCTTGTTTTTTGCTAAAAGTATTATTATATTATTGATCAATTTTCTATGACTTTTCAGATCACCCAGTAGTGCTATCTGCAGTGTTAGCTCCAGGTAAATATTGCAATCCTTCAGCCATTCCTGGACCTGTGACCAGAAACAAGCTACAAATGGACAGTACCAAAACAAATGATCTAATGATTCTGTCTCTTCGCAGCAAAATCTGCAGAGCTAGGAAGATTGTATCCCCCATATAAATAACATTCTATTGGTAAGCAAGAATTTTGTATAATAATTTAAATTTTTGTTTAAGTTTTGAATCCGGCGTCGTTTTGCGTATCAGTTCATAAACACTATGCCATGGAATCGGTACGTCAAAAATCTCTTCCAACTATTTTGCAATCTATATGGGACGGCTGTAAATCCTTTGGTCCTTAAATGAAACTGGTATACTTTTTTATTTATCACAATTTTCTTTAACCAATTATGTTCTTTAATGCAGGGCCGACAGACAAGTTCCTTCCACTTTCCTCTTCCATTTTTGCGGTAATGCTGCAATTATTTGGTTGTAATTTTGGGTAGAGCAGACATTTACATATGTTTTTGTTAGCTGCGTGTGCGAGCGACATAACTCCACCAGTCCTACCTATGATGTCATTTACAATGATTGTACCTTTTTAAAACATTTTTTCAAAAAATAATGGTTTTTTATCAATTTGTGTATTTGAGTTTAACCACAATATTTGTTGCATTATTTGTTCTGTTGTTTCTGGAGGATTAAATTGAAATTGCAACCAACTTTCTATGGCTTGTTTAAGTATAACTTTTGTTTGACTGAAGCTTTTAGTGATAGGTCTAATTACATTTTACATTTTAGTCATTTAGCAGACGCTCTTATCCAGAGCGACTTACAGTTAGTGAGTGCATACATTTTTCACACTGCTAATGCTTTAATATTTAATCATTTCTGTCCTCCGAATTCATATTCATTATATAAATAGGCCAGTTTAATTTTGTCTGGCTTGCCGTTCCAAATAAAATGGAATATTTTTTTCTCATATAATTTAAAAAACTGTTTGCAAGGCGTAGGCAAGCCCATAAGCAAATAGGTAAACTGGGATAATACTAAAGAGTTAATCAGGTTAGAAAATGTATCTATCCTCTATGAGGCTGTGGAGGGATTCAAGTTGTGGATTTAAAAGAAAACATGAATCATCAGCGTACAATGACACTTTTGTTTTTAAGCCCTGGATTTCTAATCCCTTGATATTATTGTTGGATCTGATTTTAATTTCGATGGCCATATTAAATAGATATGCCGATAGTGAACAACCTTTTTTTACTCCTCTTGACAGTTTAAAACTTTCGGAGAAATAGCCATTATTTACTATTTTACACCTAGGGTTACTATACATGATTTTAACCCATTTTATAAGAGATTCTCCAAAATTGAAATGTTCCAGGCATTTATATATAAACTCCAGTCGTACTTTATTAAATGCCTTTTCAAAGTCTGCTATGAATAGCAGGCCTGGTTTCCCAGATTTGTCATAGTGTTCTATTGTTTCCAGTACTTGCCTTATATTATCTCCAATGTATCGTCAATGTAAAAAACCTGTCTGATTAGAATTAACAATGTCCGACAATACATTTTAAATTCTATTCGCTATACATTTTGCTAGAATTTTTGCATCACAACACTGAAGTGTAAGGGGCCTCCAATTTTTTTAATGGACTGGATCTTTATATTTCCCACTTGTATCCTGTTTCAGTAATAATGAAATCAGACCTTCTTCTTGAGTGTCTGATAATCTACCATTTACATAGGAGTGGTTAAAACATGCTAATAACGGTCCTCTGAGTATATCAAAAAAGGTTTGGTATACCTCGACTGGTATGCCATCCAGATGTGTCTGTTACTTTAACTCTGTGAAGCATTTTTTTTTTTAATTAACTTTTAAGAAGGCACACCTGTTAATTGAAATGCATTCCAGGTGACTATCTCATGAAACTGGTTGAGAGAATGCCAAGAGTGTGCAAAGTTGTCATCAAGGCAAAGGGTGGCTATTTGAAGAATCTCAAATATAAAATATATTTTGATTTGTTTAACACTTTTTTGGTTAATACATAGTTTTGATGTCTTCACTACTATTCTACAACGTAGAAAATAGTAAAAATATAGAAAAACCCTTGAATGAGTAGGAGTGTCCAAACTTTTGACTGGTAGTGTTTATCACACATGTCAGACATATATGTGAGAACTGGTTAGGGTTTGCCAGAGTAAGTGACACGGGAATGTAGGCCTCTGACACCCTTCTCTCTACTGATAACTCTGGTTGTTTTATGGCGGCAATTCCCTGAAGCGGAAGTCCACACATAGACAATGACATGAAAAGACAAAAGGCCTGTGTGTGAACTTTGAACATAGCTAGTTACTGTAAAACAGGCTACCTCGTTATTGAATTGCGGCTCAGAAAAGGTACTGTCTCCTTTGGTTACAGCTCTTCAACTTTCTCTAATGTCCCTCCACGGAACAACATGAGTGAATTCTCAATTCAATTATGCACATTCAATTGGTGTAACTGCTGGGAATAAGCAACAAGGCAGTGCTTATTGCGCTGTTTCTTGGAATTGGCTTGAAATGCATCCTCCCTTGAGGTTATCACTTGTAATAACTGGACTGGTGAAAGTGCCAGTGCCACTGGCTGCTGGTAAGCTTTCTTGACTTGGACATAAATGTTTGCCAACACATTGCTAACCTTTGTTTAATCAGCTAAACAGCTGACCTTAGCGAAAATGTGTTTGGAGTTAACTTTCTATCTAATAGGCTGTTAGCGTTTATACTTCCTCTTCCAATTGCAATGTGGGGAGGTCAGAATAATGAAAAACAACCTACCAAATCTATTCATTTTAAAATGACGATTACTTCTCCTTACCATTATCATTCACCTGATGATAAGACAAGACGTGAAAACAATTGTTTTTGATAACGTATAATGGGGGTCCCTGGTTAACTAGTGTTGTGGTGCCCTGCAGGGTCATGCTGATGGAACAGGACACTCAGTGGCTGTACCACCTCCTGGCCGAGGTCCAGTTGGAGAGGTTTTACCTGTGTGTCCGGGACAGCCTCAACATCACCCGCATAGAGCATTTTGCCTACGTCAAGGAGTCTGACCTCAAACAGATCGGCATCAGCAAACCAGGTCAGTACACTGTGGTTATTTTTGTCATTTTATAAATTTTTCAATAGCTCTTTTTGGTAACACTTCCTATGAAAAGCTCCTATGTTGTGCACCATAATGCACTATGAATGGTTCATATGGGATTATAAATGCCCTTATGAAGAGGGTATTCATATGAAGTGTAACCCTTGTTTGTATGTTGTATGGCCATATCTTTTTAATTGAATATGGGTATTTTATGTCTACGTGTAGGACAGAGAAGATTATGGGATGCTGTGAAACGCTACAAGATCAACATGAGGCCTAAGTCGTGGATGGTCAAGGTAAGACCTTTCCACATCTCTCATGTCCCTCCAAAATGCAATTTACTATTATATACCATTTGTTACAAGGTAGTGGTGAATTCTTTGAAATAAGTACCAGACATTACTGATTGACACAACATAATAATTGGAATGCTCACCTGTCACTCATGTTGATCTGTTGGTCCCCCAGGCGTTCAGTGGGTGTGGTCCGGAGGGGGGTGACCAATGGGGCAGTGTGGGGTCGGGCCAGGGGCAGGGCCAGGAGACAGGGGGGCGGGCCCTCACCTGTCTGATCCAGGACGGTGAGCTGACTCTGGGTGAGAAGCTGGGAATGGGCTCCTTCGGCGTGGTGAAGAGAGGAGAGTGGCAGACCCCCACTGGAAGAGTGGTGAGTGGATTTGTTCAAATGTATGTTGCTTCTAGTGGGACACTATTTAACTTTTTATTTTACTCACCAAGTCCAACGTTAAAAGGCAGAGCTAGGTTGCCAGTTTAGAAAGGCACAGGGCAAGATACTGTACCTTCAAAAGGATCAATAGAAATTGCATAACAGAAATCAAAAATAATTTGCATTAAAGTATATCCCCAATCAATTTAAATTGCATTATAATCTATCCCAAATGATATTAATCAGTACACCCAACTCCTCCATCCTTCCCCTTCTTCTTTCTGTTGCCATGACAGCTGCCGGTGGCAGTGAAGTCTCTTAAAAGTAGTCAGTCCAGACAGACAGACACCCTGACAGACTTCCTCCAGGAGGTGACCACCATGCAGTCTCTAGACCACCCCAACATCATCCGCCTCTACGGAGTGGTGCTCACACAGCCCCTCAAGATGGTGAGAATGACATACTCTCTATCCTCTTAAAGATGGAGTGTAAAACATATTTAGTATTATTCCTATTTCTGCATTGTAATCCTGTCTCCTTTCATGCCTGGGCCTTTGCATAGGCTAATATTCTAATTGGTAGAATAGTTATTCAAATACAGGCATGCACATTTAAATAAACATTCAATGGCCATTCAGATGTTATGTTTATCACAGAATTCACTCAGGGAATTTGAGGGAAAATGTAGAATCCTCAGTGCAAAGAAGTCACTTTAAAACCCTCTTCTTCTTCTCCCAGGTGACAGAGTTGGCCTCTCTGGGGTCCCTGTATGACACGCTGCGCTCTCACCAGTACGAGTACCCCCTGGCACGCCTCTGGCTCTTCACCACCCAGATAGCAGCAGGTATGGAGTACCTGGAGGGTCGCAGGTGAGGCACGAAACAGTCCCACCCTACAGACAGACTACAACCAAATATACAATTTTAACCACTAACTTTACTGTAACCCTAAATGTCAACAATTCCTCTGACCAACTTAATACATACACTACCGTTCAAAAGTTTGGGGTCACTTAGAAATGTCCTTGTTTTCGATAGAAAAGCATTTTTTTTGTCCATTAAAATAACATCAAATTGATCAGAAATACAGTGTAGACATTGTTAATGTTGTAAATGGCTATTGTAGCTGGAAACGGCTGATTTTTAATGGAATATCTACATAGGCGTACAGAGGCCCATTATCAGCAACCATCAGTCCTGTGTTCCAATGGCACATTATGTTTGCTAATCCAAGTTTATCATTTTAAAAGGCTAATTGATCATTAGAAAACCCTTTGACAATTATGTTAGCACAGCTGAAAACTGTTGTGCTGATTAAAGAAGCAATAAAACTGGCCTTCTTGAGACTAGTTGAGTATCTGGAGCATCAGCAATTGTGAGTTCGAGTACAGGCTCAAAACGGCCAGAAACAAGGAACTGTCTTCTGAAACTCGTCAGTCTATTCTTGTTCTGAGAAATGAAGGCTATTCCATGCAAGAAATTGCCAAGAAACTGAAGATCTCGTACAACGCTGTGTACTACTCCCTTCACAGAACAGCGCAAACTGGCTCTAACCAGAATAGAAAGAGGAGTGGGAGGCCCCGGTTTTATTGCTTCTTTAATCAGCACAACAGTTTTCAGCTGTGCTAACATAATTGCAAAAGGGTTTTCTAATGATCAATTAGCCTTTTAAAATGATAAACTTGGATTAGCAAACACAATGTGCCATTGGAACACAGGACTGATGGTTGCTGATAACGGGCCTCTGTACGCCTATGTAGATATTCCATTAAAAATCAGCCGTTTCCAGCTACAATAGCCATTTACAACATTAACAATGTCTACACTGTATTTCTGATCAATTTGATGTTATTTTAATGGACAAAAAAATTGATTTTCTTTCGAATACAAGGACATTTCTAAGTGACCCCAAACTTTTGAACGGTAGTGTATATTTTTCCTCAATTTCCGTAATGCCAATGAAATTTGAGCAGAGGCGGAAGGAAGACACTTCTAACCAATGAAAATGCTGTGAATCATTCCTGGTTGTAGCCAGTAAAGTGGGCCTGTGCTATATCTCCCCCAGGTTCATCCACAGGGACCTGGCTGCCCGGAACGTTCTGCTGGCCTCCAGGGAGATGGTGAAAATTGGGGACTTTGGTCTGATGAGGGGCCTGAGCCAGGAGACGGACCACTACGTGATGACGGCCCACAGACGCATCCCCTTCGCCTGGTGAGCTGAGGGGGAACATCAGGGAGATTTTGGGAGGATATATCATTGATATGTCATTGATTGTTTAGCAGTGTGACTGAATGGAAGCCGGTGTGGAGAGGGGTGATATCACTACTGTAGGATTTTCTTTGGTGAATGATTGTCAGTTTGTAGTAATTCCACCTCTCTCTCGCTCTCTCGCTCTCTCGGTCTCTGTTTTTTTTCCATATCTCTCCTCCCACGCTCCCTCCAGGTGTGCCCCAGAGAGTCTGCGGGTGGGCTCTTTCACCCACTCCTCTGATGTGTGGATGTTTGGGGTCATTCTCTGGGAGATGTTCACCTACTGCGAGGAGCCTTGGCTGGGGCTATCTGGCAAACAGGTATGTGTAGAAAAAGGTATAGAAATAATGTATGGAGGAGACACCTTGTACACTGTGGTAGAGACCAAATGTTGGAGCAGCCTTAAGGGCAGTAAGTAGCAGGAGGCAGCAGGATCCGGTGCCAAAATAGTGTCCAGTTTATTAACAGTGAAAGGTGGATCCCGGTGAATGACGAAATCCAATGAATATTTACACAATCTACAAAGGTATTTACAAAATGAACAGACTCTCAAAATACAGGTTTTAATATAAATCAAAAACCTAAGCCTCAATCAGGCCTACCCTGCCAAACCAACTAAAGCAGAGCTAGAACATCACCCCAGCTCACATGTGAAACAGGTAGCTAGCTACCTTTATACCTATGGCCCCTCCCTCTGGACCATACCATTAATCATGGAGCTCTTTACCCAAATATGGCATTACATAATGTAACAGGCATTATACCCACATTTACATATTTTGTCTCTTAAACATTCCTGGCTTATCCTCAAAGCAGGAATATTTTCAATTAATGAATATACATTTCATAACAATAGTTCTGCAGGCCAACAGGCGGCAAAACGTATTACTTATAGAGCCGCGCACCCGCGCACGCTCCCATTACACACGGACATGACAGACCAGAGGACGTGAAGCTGCGAGATGCGAACTTCCAACACATTACAATCTAGGAATAAACAAACGTCTTTCTAGTCAGTGTAGTGAGTGTTCATGTGCACTTGAATATCCCATCCACTTGGAGGATTGAAAAAGGGTAAAATACTGCATTTAAATATGAAACTGAAATGTAACTTCACCATTTCCTCGACACATAATTAGCCTTACGCACAGTAAAACATTTTTATTTGTATTTAACCTTTATTTGATCAGGGAGTCTTACTGAGACCAAGGTCTCTTTTACAGATGAGCCCTGAATTACATAAATTATAGAAAATACACACATCAAAATAAATACAAAATGCAAGCAGAAATAAAGATAAACACGGTCATAAAAAACAAACACATTAATCAGTAATAAGGTCCTTTTTGTAAAAGGGCTTTATAAATGAAAACATATCAATCTATCAACATACAGTGACATCAAAGAGGGACAAACAACTTTCTGGTAGAGAATGTAGTGATGAGTATTAAAATTGTTGCCCGTAATAAAGTTCAGTGCGCTATGATAAACTACATCTAACGGCTTTAATGAAGTGGCCACAGTGTTCATATAGATGATGTCACCATAGTCTAGGACCGATAGGAACATCGGCTGAATAATCTGCTTTCTACTATTTAGCGAGAGGCTGGACCTATTTCTAAGAAGAAGCCCATTTTTATTCTCAGCTTCTTAACTAACTCATCAATATGCTTTTTAAAAGAAAGCTTTTCATCTATTCAGATGCCCAGATATTTGTAAGTGGGGACACGATCAATATAGATACCATCCAAAGTACATATGCTTAAATCATCAGAGTTATGCACTCTAGAGAACAACCATTCTACTAGTTTTACCATGCATTCAATACTGATTTCAGGTCAATAAAGTTTTGCTGTAATACAATAACGGCGGACTGTAGTTCAGATAGAGCCTGGTCAACCGTGGGGGCAATAGCATACACAACAGTATCATCGGCATACAAGTGCAGGTAAACATTTTTTACAGACAAGTCGATATTGTTAATGTAAACAGTAAAAAGTAAAGGACCCAGAATCGATCCCTGAGGGACACCTTTCGTAATATCCAGGAAACCTGATTTAACACCATCAGTAGATACACATTGAGTTCTATCTGTCAAGTAATTTTTAAACCAGTTACTTGCAGCCTGTTCTAGGCCAATTGAGGAACGCCTCAATTAGCAGTGAGTGATCAACAGTATCGAAAGCCCTTGACAGGTCAATGAAGAGGGCAACACAATGTTGCCTTTTATCCATACAGTTAACCACATCATTTATAACTAGGGATGCAGCAGATGTAGTGCTATGACTTGGTCTAAAACCTGACTGATGTACATTTAGAATACATTTAAAAGATAAGAAAGATCTTCGCTGAGAATTAATCAAGGATTGTAATATTTTAGCTAGGAAAGAAAGTTTTTATAAATAGGGCAATATTTATTTAAGTCACAAGGGTCACCACCTTTGTGAAGGGGGAGTACATGGGCCGCCTTCCAAACCTTGGGGATGGTACCAGATATAATCGTCAGGTTAAAAATATGGGTTAATGATTCAGCAATCGGGGGGCAGAGAGCTCCAGCACAAATGGATCAAGTATATCAGCCCCAGTGGATTTTATTACATCAATCTTAAGCAAGGCATCTAGCACATTACAGATAGTAAATTGTTTAAATGAAGAAAAAAAAAATTCACTAGAAGTTGACGGGTTAACCAAGAGCAGTCGATTGACTGACCAGGGTCAATTAAACCACAGTTTATCTCAAATAAAAAGCCTGCCGAAATAAATTATGATTAAAAGCATCACTTATCCCATTTTTCTCAGTTATGATGCCAGAGTCAGACAGAACTTGCTTAGGCAGGGAAGAAGAGGAATTTGTACACTTTGTTTTCCAAATTTTAGTAAGGGACCTCGGGAGTTTTCCAAAATCTAGAAGCAGAGTCAGAGATAGAGCTTAAAAAGTAGCTTGATTTAGCTTTCTTAATTGAGATAGTACATCTGTTTCTCAATTGTCTGAAAGATTGCCAGTCCACTACAGAGTCAGTTTTCCTTGCTTTGGCCCAGGCCTGATTTCTCATCTGAATGAGCTCAGATAACGCTGAACAAAAACCGAGGGTTAGATCCACACTACATGACCAAAGGTATGTGGACACCTGCTCATCGAACATCTCAATCCAAAATCATGGGCATTAATATAGAGTTGGTTCTTCCACACCAATCTCGACAAACCATTTCTGTATGGACCTCGCTTTGTGCACGGGGGCATTGTCATGCTGAAACAGGAAATGGCCTTCCCCAAACTGTTGCCACAAAGTTGGAAGAACAAAATTGTCTAGAAAGTCATTGTATGCTGTAGCGTTAAGATTTCCCTTCACTTCAACTAAGGGGCCTAGCCCGAACCATGAAAAACAGTCCCAGACCATTATTTATCCTCCAGCAAACCTTATAGTTGGCACTATGCATTGGGGCAGGTAGTGTTCTCATGGCATCCGCCAAACCCAGATTTGTCTGTCGGACTGCCAGAGAACGCGTTTCCACTGCTCCAGAGTCCAGTGGCGGCGAGCTCTACACCACTCCAGCAGACACTTGGCATTGCTTATGGTGATCTTAGGCTTGTGTGCGGCTGCACGGCCATGGAAACTCATTTAATGAAGCTCCCGATGAACAGCTTTTGTGCTGACGTTGCTTCCAGAGGCAGATTGGAACTTGGTACTTATGTATATATAGTGTATCTTTGACTCTGAATTGTTTAAAAGGGGAATGTTTATCTACCAGAAGAAGAAATATGGAGGAGACATTTTCTAGAGCCAACTCAGGGTCAGGAATACACGAGATAGTGGCTAAATCAGAGTAGAACATGTAATGTAAAAACCCTTGAAGAGAAAACGTTTTAAAATGTCTCTTCTTAATTAAACAAGAATTAGTATTTTGCTGTTTCCTATCTCTAATACATACTATGGGATAATGATCACTGAGATCATATGCAAATACTCCACTAGACAAATATTTATGGGGGTTATTAGTAAGAATTAAATCAATCAATGAGGAGTTAACTGTGTGCCAAGCATTAGGATCATCTGTGTAGAACAGAAGGTCTCCTTTTATTTCCTTGTTCACTTTTAGGATGAAGTCTGCCCTCAGAGTCTCTGGGGATTCTCTTAGCAATTTATTTTGAATTTATTTTTTTCTGACACACTTGTAACATTTTCAGGATACGTGATGGCAAGGTCTCTGAAACAATGCTTAGAGAAGGCATCCATCTTCATCTCCATGGTGACCTCTAAACAATGCACTATGCTCTAGAATGATGTACATGTGCCTCTTGATGAAAGCACAAATAATGCACCTATAGATAAATGCACTTTCTAAACAATGCACTTTTATAAATAATACAAATAAAGATGTTAAATGTGTTTTTCAATTAAAGAACACATTACACATACATTAAGATACTCTCTCAATGTTCAAAATGTTTCCACCTCCTTTCCAAGTGCTCTTTTGCTGGTTTGGTTGTTCATCTGAATGCTTGTTTACCTATCAAGGCCTGAACTATCCTCCAGAAATCCTTTGTCTTTCTCCCTCTGTTGGTTTTGTGTTTGTTTATCTATGTCCTAATTCTTCTTGTTGTCCTTGTTGGGTTTATAGTCCCCCTATCCCATTATTTCCTTGTGTTGCCTGATGATTCAGCAGATGAGTCCTGCAAGAACCAAGTCGATCAATCTCTCAAAACCTCTCCAAACAATTTCCACAAAAGAAAAGTATATTCCAATTCATCTAGATGGGCAGAACACAGCAATACACTAAAATAACTAAACTGTTAACTAAACATATAATAAACAATTTTTTTAAATTGCAATTTAAGGAGGAGCTCTTTTTAAGTGCTGCTGATCATTTAATTGGTTGCTAGGAGATGTTACTGGCAAAAGAGGAAAACAAAAACAGTATATGCATTTAGGAGAAATGAATTACTAGATACAGTATATGGGAAACATGAAAGCGCCTAACTATTTATAAGGGGAATCAAATAATGCGCGTTCGTAACGAGAGCAAAGGAGTCAGCTTCGTCACATACACCTTGTAGGTAGAGCACTTTAAGTTGAACCATGACTCAAGAGTACTCAAGGCTCCAAGCATTTGTACGACCTCTGAAATAAAATACTCAATATTGTGTATGTGTGTGTGTCCACAAACATATTCAATATCATAACAATGCCATTTCTTTGTCATTAAACGTTCCCCACTCTTTTTTTCTCTCAGATCCTGTGGCGTGTGGAGCGGGAGGGAGAGCGTATGGAGAGACCCCCTGACTGTCCTCAGGAACTCTACTCTGTGATGAGGAAGTGTTGGGCCTGCACCCCCTCCAACCGACCCACCTTCTCCCAGCTCACCACCCTGGTCGCAGAGGTAACACTGTAAATATTTATATGTACATTTATTATATATGTATAAATGTATGCTCACATTTACATTATACTCACATAATACACTCTAATCCAGTGGCTCCCAAGCATGTTTACATTAGCATTTAAGAGTCAATATGGCCAGTGACCAGAATAAAGGTAGTTGGACTACAAGACAGTGGCATTAAATGGTTTTCCTCTCCCGTCTTTCCTCTCTATCCAGGCTCAGCCTATGGAGGTGTGTGCTGTGAGGGACTTTGCGGAACCTAGAAAACTCACCCTCCTGTCCAATGATCTAGTGACCATCATAGACCATAGGTAAGAGAGAAGAGGGATGGGAAGAAGAGGAGTTCATTGTTAAACTTAGACATATTGCTTCAAACAGCTCAACTCTTGAACCTGAATTCCGTTGCATTGACTGTTAACTCTAATCCTCACATTCTTGCCACCTTGTAGTAATTATTGAGAGGGGGGTCTAAGGCCTTCAAGTCTGAGGCCACGAACAAAAGATTTGAAGCTGACTCAAGATTTATAACGTTTTCAGAGTCCTATATAAAAGCGTGTCAAGACAGTTTATACAAGGGTTTTATAATAGTTTATAGAGAGTAAATTATTAGTGAATATGTAGTTCATAAATCATCAATAAACTGTTAAAAGTCATTGGTTGGAATTGTATGATTGTCGTTTCTTAATGTGACCATTTAAATTGTATACATGTATTTTTCATATCGCTTACTGTATATCTACAGTATGTGTCTTATATGATTTGACTCTATGGTTCTCCTCCTGTAGTCTGGAGCTGTGTGAGTGGAAGGGCCAGAACCAAAGGACCCTGATGGTGGGCTGGTTCCCCCCAAGCATGGCTGCTCCCTCCCTCTCCGCCCCCAGCAGCACCCCTGCTCTTCCCGCCATAGCCCCCGTCGCTGCCTCAAGCCTCATCTCGCCCCCCCTGAAGGGCAGTCTGCAGCACACGGGGCAGGCTGAGACCCACCCCGACTGTAACTGGGGAACGCCGGAACGCCTCGAAGAGTCAGTGAAGTTTACACGTTTTGATGAGGCTTTGATATATGGCTGTTGAGCATCATAATGCTATATGCTAGCCTAGGTTCCTGACTATTTTTGCTGTCATTAATGCCACATTGTTGCCTTGTCTTGTTCAGTATTACAGATATCCGTTGTCATATATTGATAGAAATCAAGTAAAAATGGCATTTGTTTACGTCTTTGTTGGTGGCCCACTATTGGTGGTATGCAAATCTTACAGTGTAAGTAAGATGAATGCCTTGAACCTTTGTTTTTGTAAGTGTACAACCATGACCTATGTTTGTTTGAATAGTGTGTTTACCTGACCTCTGACCTTTTCAGAAGTGTAAACTGGAGAAGCAGCCCAGCAAACAGAGAGAGAGAGGCCGGCTCCAATTTACAGAACATGTCAAGTAACAACTTCAAGAAGTTATTCACTCTTTATTTGATTATTATATGACTGATACTAACATATTCCCCAAATAATATTAGCTAATATTCAATCCATGCATATAAATTGTTTCACGGGTAGAAATCTGTGGCTAATTGGGCACATTACAACTCTTCTAATCGTCTAGACCTTTGGTACCCTTCGTAGTGTACTAGCCTCGAGAGCAGAGGGTCACAAGTTTGATACCACCCAGGGAAAACAACCCTCAACATGCTGCATACTGTACTTATTTTGTACAAAACACATATACTGTATATGTTTTATAGAACTATCCATCTGTCCCCAGGTATGACCAGGAGTCTGGAGTCTGTCCTGAGCAGTCCCCAGAGCAGGACTGTAGGAGGGGTCAAGGTGGACCCCCGTCGTGGACCCCTCCCCAACGCCATGGTTGCCCGCAGCGTCGTGGTGCAGCAGGACCCCCGTCGGTTCAGCAATGCCAGCATTAACCCCCCACCTCGCCCGCTCCCTCCCAACCTCAAACGCCTCAAGATCCCCCAGGTGGCCTTGATCAGAGATCGGAGGCCTGTAAATCCAGCCCCAGGCTCCTTGTGGCCTCCACAACCTCAAGAGCATCCACAGCAGCAGATGCTACAGCCACCCCAGCCCCAGCTACAGCAGACCATGGGGGGCAGCAACCTGGGCAAGATGGCCCACATGGCACGGTCCAAACCAGCACTGGATGACTATGGGGACAAGGAGAGGGATCAAGAAAAGGAGACGGTGGTGAGGGAACGAGAGAGGGAGAGGTACCCGCCTCAAATGCAACACATCAGGGAAGCCTTCATAGCACAGGTATGGATGGATGTATGATCTTTAGTTCTTGAGTTGTTAGACATAATATACAATTCAGGCTTTGTGACTGGCCTGACGTACTAAGGTCCTCTAGTCTGATTGGTCAGGTCATGGAAGCAGTGCATGGAGTGACCAATGAGGAGGTTCGGAACGCACTTCACCGCAATGAATGGAACCCTATAAGGGCCCAGCAACAACTCAAGGTTAGACAGAATTACTCTAATTCATACTTAATGCATATATTATTTCCATGTACTTCAAAATGTATTCTCCATTGACCAACCTAAGAATACAAAAATGATGTAATATTAAATATGATGCACCAACCTTGTGCTCTCTCCTCTCTCTCTCTCTCATTATCTCCTTCCTTCTCAGATGGAGCAGCTGTACTCTCTGAGCCTGTGTTCTCGTGACGACTGCCTAAGGATCCTGTCCTGCTACCAGTGGGATCTACAACTGGCCAGCCGCTACCTGTTCAGAATGGTACGGGAGGAGAGGACTGGAGGAGGAGGAGAAAGGGAGAGGAGGGACGGAGAAAGAGAGGCACCCCCTGCTGCCATGGAGAGACGAGGAGGAGTGTGAGAGGTGCGGGGATGGAGGGATACTGGAAACAGAGGACAATAAAGCTTTACAAAATTGAAGAGGAACTGAGGAGCTATTTGAGGAATTTAAGAGATGGGATGGTTTATAAAAAAGGAATGGAATATATATGAAGTGAACCATAAAGACATTACAGTCCTCCAAAATACTATTTTTATCCCTTTTTACAGTTCTGTTTAGTCTTTTTTTAATGACGTGACAGACAGCCACATCCTCTCTGTTCTCAAAAAAGTTGTGTATCATGATGAATTTGTTAATACAGTGCCTTGCAAAAGTATTCCTTCACATTTTATTTTGTTACAAAGTGGGATTCAAATTGATTGAATTGTCATTTTTTGTCAACAATTTACACAAAATACTCTGTCAAAGGGGAAGAAGAATTCTAACATTTTAATAACTAAAATATAGTAATTGCATAAGTAGCCAGCTCCCTGAGTCAATACATGTTAGAAACACCTTTTGGCATCGATTACATCTGTGAGTCTTCTTGGGTATGTCTATAAGAGATTTGCACACCTGGATAGTGCAATATTTGCCCATTATTCTTTTCAAAATTATTCAAGCTCTGTCAAGATGTTGGTGATCATGGCTAGACAGCAATGTTCAAGTCTTGCCATAGATTTAAGCAGATTTAAGTCAAAACTGTAACTTGGCCACTCAGGTACATTCACTGTCTTCTTGGTAAGCAACTCCAGTGTAGATTTGGCCTTGTGTTTTAGGTTATTATCCTGCTGAAAAGTGAATTCCTCTCATAGTCTCTGGTGTAAAGCAGACTGAATTTTATTTTATTTCACCTTTATTTAACCAGGTAAGCCAGTTGAGAACAAGTTCTCATTTACAACTGCGACCTGGCCAAGATAAAGCAAAGCAGTGCGATAAAAACAACAACAACAACAACAACACAGAGTTACATATGGGATAAACAAAACGTACAGTCAAAAACACAATAGAAAATATATATACAGTGTGTGCAAATGTAGTAAGTTATGTAGGTAAGGCAATAAATAGGCCATAGTGCAAAAATTATTACAATTTAGTATTAACACTGGAGTGATAGATGATGTGCAAATAGAAGCAGGTTTTCCTCCCATTTTTTATCCTGAAAATCCCCAATATTTGCCAATGTCAAGCATACCCATAACATGATGCAGCCACCACCATGCTTGAAAATAAGGAGGCAGTTACTCAGTTATGTTGTTGGATTTGCCCCAAACATAAGGCTTTGCATTTCAGCCAAAAAGTATATTCCTTTGCTTGGTTTTTTGCAGTCTTACTTTAGTGCTTGTTGCATACAAGCTGCATGTTTTGGAATATTATTCTGTATATTTGTATTATTTTCACTCTGTCATTTAGGTAATTATTGTGGAGTAACTACAATATTGTTGATCCATACTTAGTTTTCTCCCATCACAGCCATTGGACTCTGTAGCAAATGGCTTCATGGTAACACAGCAGTTTCATTCCTGTCCTGCAGTTCAGTTCAGAAGGACGACTATTTTGTATGTGTCTGGGTGGTTTAATACGTAATCCACAGCATAATAATTAACTTGACCATGCTTAAAGAGCTATTCAATGTCTGATTTGTTATTGTTACCCATCTACCAATCACTGCCCATCTTTGAGGCTTTCGAAAAGCTCCCTGGTCTTTGTAGTTTAATCTGTACTTGAAATTCAATACTTGACTGAGGGACCTTACAGATGTTGTGTGTATGGGGGACAGAGAAAGAGTTAGTAATAAAACAAATCCATGTAACTTATGGGATTTGTTAAGCCACATTTTACTCCTGAACTAATTTAGGCTTGACTAAACAGAGGCTGAATACGTATGCAACAACTATATTTTAGTTATGAATATTGTATTTATCATTAAAAAAAAAAAAATCTTCAGAGTATTGTGTGTAGATTCTTGACAAAAATGACAATTAAATCCATTTGAATCCAGCTTTACCCCAATAAAAATGAATAATTTTGCAAGGCACTGTACTGTATTAGCATTGATTATATTTGTTGAATAAATTGTTGATACAAATTGTGCATGGGCTAGTGATGTGTACATGTGACTAATGCCCCTCAATTTACACCAAGTCATGAGAGTTGGGATGTTGTAAGAATCAAAAGATGATGTACAGTGTGATGTAATTTCCTTTCAGAGGAAGTGTTTGTCATTTCTCTGCTTTGACCTCTTTGGTTGAGGAAGGTGAATTGTGAGCTTCTCATTACGCTGTCTATAACTACAGCTTTACAGGAGGAGCTGGTCACATAGGGCTGGAGAATCCATACTACTAGGGAGGGACATGAGCTTATTTTAACCTGCACCTCAGCATGCTTCCAGCAGGGGGGGGTAATGGGAACACCTCTCCCTTTCCGGTCCCAGCCTTTTCCTTTCTACTGAAGGGCTTGGTTACATTTCAAGTCCTCCTGGCACATTGCCACTACCACTTTGGGAATGGGTAAGAGTTAGGGAATGAGACTAGGGGCCATAATGTAATTGTGCCCATGACTTGAAAAAAGGTGGATGGAGACTGGAGAGAGAGACCAAAAGCCTGTAAGGCCACAGGATCAATGTTTCCAATTAGTACCAGATGTCTCTCATTTTGCTGGGCTTCATAAACACTTCTCTCCACCCCGCCCACCCTCAGTGGCCACTGGCCTAGCGGTGTCTGTCACTTGCAAAACCTAGGTCAGGATTCAATCCGGACTGCGGAAGACTTGCGCTCATTTCTGAGCCGACACACCTGCAGTGTTTATTTTGAATGTGATCTCTGCGAATGCGGAAACATTGCCTTTAAAGGTGCATAGTCAAAATGGGGTGATCCGATTGAATCACAAACCTAGGGCTCGATTCAAATCAGTAGCACTGATATGCTGTAGCGCGAATGAAATGTAAAGGTCATTTCTGATTGAGCCAACATAAGCAGCGTTTACCGTGAATGCAGTCTCCGCGAACACATTGGCTTTAAATTTATTTTGCGCTGTAGCGCAGCTCTTCAGTGATACGGATTGAATCGAGCACCTAGTGTAAAAATGCAGGTCACGCAGAACGAAAAGGTACAAAATCGTACAAAACTGCTTTATTTACCACAACTGTTTGATCCAAGGCTGAATTCAATCCGTAGTGCTGAAGATATGCGTGGTAGCACAGTTGAAATTTAAAGGTAATTTTCGATTGAGCCACATATGCAGCTTTTACCGCAAATGCAGTCTCTGCGAATGCAGAAACCTTGCCTTTAAATTTCAATCACGCTATAACGCTGATCTTCAGCACTACTGATTGAATCCAGACCCTTATTACCTAATACAAATATACAACACTTTCCCCAGACAGTGCACAAAGAATCAACATCATACTCACCCCATGAACAAAAGTACACTATATTTAACACCAAGGAAACGTTTTGTAATGAAATTGGCCCCAACTCCCAACTGTTCACTGTGTCCCCTAAATCAGGTAGACACATTCCTCCATATTATGTGGGAGTGCCCTGCAGTTAAATGCTTCTGGGACAAAGTTACAACATTCATTTTGAAGTGCATGAATGTAAATATTCAATGCTTTGCATCAATTATGTTACTTAATGATGATAGCTTCTTGAATCTCTCAATCAATCAGAGATGATTACTGCTGGCAGGGAGCACTGCTGCAAAAAAATGTTGGCTCAGATGGCAATCACCTCACTCTCCCAATTCCCCAGTGGATACAGTTACTATTAGAAGTTATAACATTAGAATTATCGACAGCGAGAATTAATGGAGCTAGTCAAGGAACAATTGAGGCCTGGACAAATATACACTGAGTGAACAAAACATTAGGACCACCTTCCTAATATTGAGTTGCATCCCCTTTTTCCCTCAGAACAGCCTCAGTCCGTTGGGGCAAGGATTCTACAAGGTGTCGAAAAGCGTTCCACAGGGATGCTGGCCAATGTGGACTCCAATGCTTCCCACAGTTGTGTCAAGTTGGCTGGATGTCCTTTGGGTGGTGGACCATTCTTGATACACATGGGAAACTGTTGAGCGTGAAGAACCCAGCAGCATTGCAGTTCTTGACACAAATCCTTCTTTAACCTGTCTCCTCCCCTTCATCTACCCTGATTGAAGTGGATTTAACAGGTGACATCAATAAGCGATCATAACTTTCACCTGGATTCACCTGGTCAGTCTGTCATGGAAAGAGCGGTCTGTCATGTTTTGTACACTCAGTGTACATTTGCTTTACGAATGACATGTTGATGCTAAATATGATCATTGCACACGGACAAAACAGAAATTCCCAAATAAGGAATCTAGAATCTAATACTGAAGCGGTATGGTATTATAAAATGCTTGCCATGGCAGTCACACCAAAAAAATACTGAAATAAAGTATTTGTTAAGAACATGTCAAGTTTTCCATACTGTTCTGAACCCCAAATGTATACAGATAACCAAAACATCTATTTGATAGAAAACAAATACAAAAAACATAGATATGATGAAACAGATAGATATGAGAAAACATAGATACAAACACTCCATGCAAAGAGTGGAGAAACCCATTGAAAGAAAACTAAGGCCTATGTGTCAAAGCCCAGTTGCTGATTCTTACATTTGGATGGATACACAGAAACAGTCCAGAGGCCATTTTGGCTCAAAGGTAAGCTCATCATCAGATAAGTCCTCATGTTGTGTTACACAGAAAGAGTTCTGGGACGGGCACGGAATGGCAGCTTCCTCTAAGGTTTCGAATAAGGAAGGAGTTTCAAACGGAATCTGAAAAAAGGAGGGTTCCGAATGGGAATGGAAAAACAGAGTGTATTGACTCAAGTGATCAGTCCTTCTCGAAGAACATGAAATCCTGTGAAGCGGAAAGGAGGAATGAAATGTCAACGAAATGTCCTCTAACAACTGCTCATCTTATCAGCTCAGTAATAGGCCTTACACATGTCAAGTTCTGTGATTTAAAAAAAAAATCTACATTTTAATTGAATATATCTATATTTAAAACAGACGGATGGACTCACGATGAGGAAGCAGGCACCCATGAGCACAGCCTTCATCTTGACGTCCAGGTCCAGGGGGAACTGGATGCCAAAGTTGTCCGTGTCGGTGAAGACCTCCTTTATCAGGCCACTCCATTGCTTACTGATGCGGCCGATGGGCTTGCCTCCATCTTTCCCCGTCAGCTACGGGGGGGCAGCAAAACACATGGGTCAGAGACAAAGATTTCTGGCCGCTTCACCTCATCACTACTTCTGAAAGGATTGGATGGGTGTGTAGAGAAAAGGGCAACTTATCCAGTCTTTTCTGGTCTAAAAGCAATGTCAAAGTCAAAGATTAGGTTTGTTCTAGTTAAATAGGACAGTTATCAACTGATTTCAGCCAAAGAAAGCCCAAACTATATGACCCCTCACCTCGAAGTTGACGTCCCCGCAGCAGTTGCAGGCGAAGCAGGGTCCCTCCAGCTTCATTACGGTCTCCTTGTTGGCCCCCTTGATGGAGAACTTGGGCACGCAGGGGTTCCAGTCCTGGAACACATAGCCTATGGTGGTGCCAGGCGGAGCTTGGACCTCGAGCTGAGGGGGACACACATACACAAAATTAGAAAGGTATTTCACCATGCTTAAAATCAGGCTTCGGTCCGTACACTGTAGCTTTAAATAGTATGTGCTTGGGTTACTGGAAAGCTAATTCAGCATGCAATAGGGCACTAATTTGATGAGTGCATTGGTGTCTGATATTGGCGTAGCAATCACTGCCATGGCAAAGGTAATATGCGTCGCATGGTAACTGTGGGGCTAGTCATAGATGCTGAACTAATGTGTGAAAGGGCAGTCATAAGGGACCTTAACGTCTCATGGGAATGTACTGTACTGTACTTTACGGCTCCACCTGTACCAGAATACCAGAGTCCCTATCCAGGACCCGAGTGGGTCCAGATCCAGAGTTCTAAATAATGTCACTGGTCAAAATGTGCTGTCGTTAGCTTGCCAGCAATGTGATTCAATAGAGACAGAGCTGAAAGGTGAAGAGACGACACCAGATCAAGACAGTTTGGGAGAGGGTTCGGACTGACAAAGGACCATTCAGTGTCATTCATGGGTCTTTACAAAGCACAGAGACTAGGGATTTGGTAGGACAGTCCAAAATGGCTTCCAGTCCAACAGTTTTACTTTTTAGCATTAGCATCGTTAATTTGTAATTCATACAGAGTTGTATAGCAATGCTAATGCTAACCTGAGGATAAATTAACCAATTGCATTTTAGGTGACCTGTCCCTTTACTCCTTCTCTATCACATTAAGACTCAATATTATGATTTTGTCTATTTTTTTTCCTGGTTTGTGTCCCGTGTACATAGTCAAAGTAGTCAAATATTTGTCTCAGTGTTCAGCGCCCCATCGTACCTCTTGCAGGCAGCAGGGGCAACAGCAAGAGGCACAGCGGAAGGGTCGTATGAGGCGGATGACCTCGCGGTCCGTGTTGTCCTTGATCTTCATGTCGAAGCTACGCAGGGCGCCACAGCAGTAGCGTGTGCAGCAGTCGTTCTTCTCCTTGGCCTTGTAGATCTTCTGACCCAGGCTGTTCTTGATCTCGTATTGGTTGTTGGTCTCAAAGCCAATGAACGCTGAGGAGAGGGGAACGGAGGGAGGAAAAGGAAGAGGGGATGGTGGGGAAGGTGAGAGGACAGAAACCCAGGAACGTAAACAGGAAAACAGTAGTTTGGTGGTGGTCAGTTCTCCTCATGATTTATCGATGAGGTGAGAATGGTGACCAGTAAAAATTACCTTAGTTTTCCATTGCCTTTACTTCTGTTCTCTCTGTACTCAGATAAGACTAGCGAGCTCACCTTCCAGCAATTCCAGCTTTTGGTGTATAAGTATCTGGTCAAGCTGAAACACAGAACAGAGTATGAGATACACAGAGGGTACAAAACCTGCTCTTCCCATGACAGACTGACCAGGTGAATTTAGGTGAAAGCTATGATCCCTTATTGTTGTCACCTGTTAAATCCACTTCAAATCAATGTAGATGAAGGGAGGAGACCGGTTAAAGAAGGATTTATAAGCCTTGAGACAATTGAGACATGGATTGTGTATGTGTGCCATGCAGAGGGATGTTTGTGAAATCAGTGTATTTGACAGCCTGTTATGCTACTCTTCCCAAGCAAACCTACCTGTGTTAGGTACTCCAGACCAGGTGGAACTCCAACAGGAACAACTGCTGCAGGGGCTGGGGAGATGGCTGCAGGAGGGCCTGAGTTAGGTGCACCGTATTCGGGCCCAGGCATGGGACCACCATAGCCTGGGCCCATCTGAGGTGCACCGTATTCAGGCCCAGGCATGGGACCACCATAGCCTGGACTGGGGCCCATCTGAGGTGCACCGTATTCAGGCATGGGCATAGGACCTGGGCCTATTGGTCCAGGCTGGTACATCACAGGCTGGCCTGGGTGGGGTTGTTGGTGGTTGTAGCCCATTTGGAAGCCAACCGGTAGGGGAGCATGGTTAGGGTCACCATACCCCCCCTGAGGAACAGGGTAGGGGTCCATGGAGTAACTTCCAGGACTCTGGTGAGGGGACAGGTAACCTATAGGAGGAAATACAAACAGTGGGTATCATAAATATATTCATATTGACAATATATTCAGATTGACAAAAAGCTACACATGAATATGGAGTTATGGATGCAAATATGTAGGGAGCATGAACTGGTGTTATTAAAGCTCATGAAGTGCATTGGAGATTCTGCATTAAGGAAATGACTGTTTTGCATAACAAAAGTGGGCCGTATTGTTGTACACCAATGGATTCCCAACAAAGCACCACTCATTCAATGGAAACTGCAAAGAACAAAAGTCATTTTCCACATCATTCTCCCAATAATCTTTTACGTTTATATCAACAGTCAGCCTTTTACACGCCAAGCTCTGGTTTCAAATTATTATCTCGAATACATTGGAAAAATAGCATTATACAAATCCTATGGGGGAAATACCCAGGGAGAATTGCACTATAGTGCAACAGGGAAATTAGTGATTATGTGTTGTCAAGAATCTGCGGTCGTCCTGCTCTCCTGCTCAGAATCTAATTCCAGTCAAAGCATCTTCACCATTGCTTAATATTCTTATCAGCCAGTGGCTGGATGGCAAACAATGGCTAAAAACAAGCAAAATCAAAAGTGTACTTTTGAGATATTAATATTTTGAATGTTGAATAAATTAAGGTGAGAAATTACATTTCAGAATCTAGACATACTCCATATTTAAAAGCACACTATAAAAAGGAGTATAATGACAAGATGTCTGTCATATACGTTTCACAGATCATAGAGTCTTATAGGAGGGCCATGTATAGGTCTAAAAAGGGCCTAAAATTGCCATTTTCATCATGTTTTTTTCGAAAATGGTTTGTGATACAAATGTAAAAACAATGTCAAACATCCTTCCTCCCAATGAAGTTACTATGTGACAATTGCCAGAACAATCTGAGATTCCCAAAAATATTTCCGCTGGTATGGAATCACCCAGATGTGAGCAGAGCAACCCACTATGACATTTGGACCTATCGCTCCACCCCTTTCCACATTCCTACCTAGGAAGGAAAACAAAAAAAATTGACTAGCTTGCTTTTTACTGAGAAATTGCCCCTGGATTACAGACAAACCTACACCAAGAGTAGGAAGGTTGAGACCAGCAGATGTTCACACTTTTGCTTTTTGTAAACTACTGAATGGAAAAATACAAATGGAAATATTGTTTTGGAAGCAAATAACACTTTTCATTGTGTATTTAAAATGTATGAACATATGAATTGACATTGGTCAAAATTGGGATGGGTCTTTTTAGTATCCTGGAAAATAAGAAATTTCAAACATCCTTTTCCTACTTCAACACTGTTGGAGAGGGTAAAGTTTCAGTTGAGAGCCTCGAGGAATGTGGAGTAGAAGCAGGGGTGTATTCACTAGGAACCAAACAGAACCAAACGGAAGCAAGCAGAATGAAACGGGGAGGGACCTACCTGAATTTGTCCAATAGAAACTCTCGTTTTCGTTGCTAAAAGGTTTTCCGTTTGCAATTTTGCTAAGGTGTGCACTAATGATTACACCCCAGGTGAAGAAAAACACCAGTCATTCAGTTAGTTATCCATTCATTCAGAAAGAGACTCATCAACCAAACAGTCACAGTGAGAGTTTGTGATGTCAAACAGATTCACATTCACACACTATAGACCCCTTTCTGTGTTCGCAAACATTGCAGCATGAGGGCGTTGGGCACAAGATGGTGGCAGAACACCACCCTGGTGTCAGAGAATTTTGTATTATTCTGTAAGTAAATCCGAGACACTCCATTTAGTATGATATGTTACATATCGCATGGTATGTACACTGCTCAAAAAAATTAAGGGAACACTAAAATAACACATCCCAGATCTGAATGAATGAAATAATCTTATTAAATACTTTTTTCTTTACATAGTTGAATGTGCTGACACAAAATCACACAAAAATTATCAATGGAAATCAAATGGATCAACCCATGGAGGTCTGGATTTGGAGTCACCCTCAAAATTAAAGTGGAAAACCACACTACAGGCTGATCCAACTTTGATGTAATGTCCTTAAAATAAGTCAAAATGAGGCTCAGTAGTGTGTGTGGCCTCCACGTGCCTGTATGACCTCCCTACAACGCCTGGGCATGCTCCTGATGAGGTGGCGGATGGTCTCCTGAGGGATCTCCTCCCAGACCTGGACTAAAGCATCCGCCAACTCCTGGACAGTCTGTGGTGCAACGTGGCGTTGGTGGATGGAGCGAGACATGATGTCCCAGATGTGCTCAATTGGATTCAGGTCTGGGGAACGGGCGGGCCAGTCCATAGCATCAATGCCTTCCTCTTGCAGGAACTGCTGACACACTCCAGCCACATGAGGTCTAGCATTGTCTTGCATTAGGAGGAACCCAGGGCCAACCGCACCAGCATATGGTCTCACAAGGGGTCTGAGGATCTCATCTCGGTACCTAATGGCAGTCAGGCTACCTCTTGCGAGCACCCCAAAGAAATGCCACCCCACACCATGACTGACCCACCGCCAAACCGGTCATGCTGGAGGATGTTGCAGGCAGCAGAACGTTCTCCACGGCGTCTCCAGACTCTGTCACGTCTGTCACGTGCTCAGTGTGAACCTGCTTTCATCTGTGAAGAGCACAGGGCGCCAGTGGCGAATTTGCCAATCTTGGTGTTCTCTGGCAAATGCCAAACGTCCTGCACGGTGTTGGGCTGTAAGCACAACCCCCACCTGTGGATGTCGGGCCCTCATACCACCCTTATGGAGCCTGTTTCTGACCGTTTGAGCAGACACATGCACATTTGTGGCCTGCTGGAGGTCATTTTGCAGGGCTCTGGCAGTGCTCCTCCTGCTCCTCCTTGCACAAAGGCGGAGGTAGCAGTCCTGCTGCTGGGTTGTTGCCCTCCTACGGCCTCCTCCACGTCTCCTGATGTACTGGCCTGTCTCCTGGTAGCGCCTCCATGCTCTGGACACTACGCTGACAGATACAGCAAACCTTCTTGCCACAGCTCGCACTGATGTGCCATCCTGGATGAGCTGCACTACCTGAGCCACTTGTGTGGGTTGTAGACTCCGTCTCATGCTACCACTAGAGTGAAAGCACCGCCAGCATTCAAAAGTGACCAAAACATCAGCCAGGAAGCATAGGAACTGAGAAGTGGTCTGTGGTCACCACCTGCAAAACCAGTCCTTTATTGGGGGTGTCTTGCTAATTGCCTATAATTTCCACCTGTTGTCTATTCCATTTGCACAACAGCATGTGAAATTTATTGTCAATCAGTGTTGCTTCCTAAGTGGACAGTTTGATTTCACAGAAGTGTGATTGACTTGGAGTTACATTGTGTTGTTTAAGTGTTCCCTTTATTTTTTTGAGCAGTGTATTAATTTGTGGATGTCCATCACCCATTTCGTATATGTTACGAATTACAATTCGTATTTTTTGTTACGAATTTGTAAAACGTACAATGAGTTACAAATTTGCAAAAATGTACAATATGTTACGGATTTGCAGAACGTGTGACATGTTACAAATTCTAGCTATGTAGCTAATGTTCGCTAGGCTAGGAGTTAGGGATTAGGATTAAATTTAGGAGTTAAGTTAAAGGGTTAAGGTTAGGGGAAGGGTTAGCTAAAAGGGTTAGGGGAAGGGTTAAGGTTAGGGGAAGGGTTAGCTAACATGCTAAGTAGGGTGCAAAGTAGCTAAAATGTAATAAATAGTTGAAAAGTTGCTAATTAGCTCAAATGCTAAAGTTGTCTGTGATGAGATTCAAACTCGCAACCTTTGGGTTGCTAGACGTAACCATCAGTCTTATGTAACCATACCAAACGTAACATATCATACTAATTTGACTGTTTACATTTATGATGTTACGTCTAGTCCATGACACCAGGCTGAGAACAAGGGGGAGTTCTCATAGAAAGCCAGCAAAAAACACCTCAATTTTCATGCTGCTTATGAGTGCATTTCACACAACTTTTGGATTATAATTGTATTTTAAGGCTCGTATGAATGTCCTGCTTAATGTAATGTCTGTCATTAACGCAAAAATATACTTAAAAAAACACTTCAACTTTAACCAGTAAAATGGCTCTTTGGCTAGCTTTTGCTACAGCCTATGTCAATTAGCATTATCATTCTAGCTAACAACCGCTGCATCCAAAATAGTTATTTTGCAAAGATCACAACCAAATATAATCTTGGTGACTGTTCCAGCAATAATCAAAACAACATTTTAAGCGTATGAGAACCCAAAACAGTTATTTTGTTTATAAGTAATAAAAACGTAAATCTAGGCTAGGTTGAATGGGCGCAGATGGCGATGGCTTTCTTTCAGCCAAAAGTTGCGCGCATCTGTGTGTTATGTACTGAAAAGTGGCCTATGAGCACAGACAAAAAGTAATCCTGCAAAGATGCAATTTATGAGAAAATAAACAAAACAGCAACCCCAGTATAATATGATATCTAAATCAACAGATATTCAGAAGACATTTACCTGGGGCTGACATGATGACTTAGTAGACGCACAGTGGATAGCAGGCGGACTTCCTCTCTTGTCCACTTCCGTAGACTCTATGGAGACAAAAATAAAACTATGGCAAGACAAATTTCAGCACTCTGAGTCAAACAGATCAAGAGATATAAACATGTGCCCGTTATAGAGCCACCATGTGGTCGATATGAATGCTCTTGCATATGTTGTGTCTTGACAGTGTTTGCAGCATGTGTACCAAATTGTGTTACAATACGAATATCCTTGACTGATTTATATGCGTTTGTGCCAGACCACGCCCACATGAATGTTTATTGGTCAATAGCAGCCATGTTGTTTTAGGTACTAGTCTGGAAAATGTTGAGTTGAGACCTTTGTCCATAGATGCCACCTATCAAGTTTCATGCAGATCGGTCATTCGGTGCCAGAAGAGTAGCATTTTAAGTGTTTTTCACAAAATTCTAAATGGAGGAAAATCCATCATGGTGGACCTTATGGGTCCCGGAGGCAAATTTGTTCCTTTTGAGGAGAGGGACCTATGCATCACCTTTCATGACTTTAGGCAAAACAGGGGCGTGACCTTTCAAAGTTTGAAAATGCAATCTCTTGTTATAGCGCCACCATCTGGCCAATCAGTGTAATTGTGTAAATGCCTGATCTCTATGGCAAGATGCATCATTCACCCAAGTTTCGTCAAAATCGGGCCAGTTCTGTCTGAGATATCGCGTGTGACTAATGTACAAATGAACGGACGGACGGATTTTAAGAGACAGATTCACAGTCCCCTCCCCGATTTCATCGGACAATGATGGGTCGTTGGGCATGGGCTATAAAAAGCAGAGCAGAGAGAGCAGGGTTGTTGTGAATGAGAGGGAGAATGACACTAGACATGTTCACCAGTCCAGACAAACCATTCACAATAAGACGGCTATAACAGCTAACTTTCTCCTGTCATATTCTCCAACATAAAATCTAAACCATAGAGCCCCACAGTGGAGGTGTCATAATACCCATAAAACCTAGTGGTCAAACAGGGAAATGGTTCCAATCATTTTTCCACCATTCATTTTTCCCATAGGGGATTTTAGAAACACTTAAAATAAGGGCTGTTTCGTGTAGGCTTACCCTGGCATGACATTTTGATAAACATGTAAATCTCTCTCGGACAAGGTGACTTCTATCAATATATTTGGCACTATTTACTCTCAGATTCGAAAATGCTAATTAATTACTACATTTAACTTACATTAGATAGTTCATCCAGAGATTCTTACCTTTGCCTCGATTGAGCAGTCTCGTCCAGATCATCATGGCAATTGTAGTTCTTTATAATAGCCACATTAGCATTTCATTTTTGAGGGGTAAATGCAGGCGAATATATTGATAAAAGTTACTTTGTCCTAGAGAGATTTACACGGTTATCAAAACGTCACACCAGGGTTAAGCCTACACGAAACACAGCCCTTATTTTAAGTGTTTCTAAAATCCCCTATGGGAGAAATGAATGGTGGAAAACGATTGGAACCATTTCCCTGTTTGACTGCTAGGTTTTATGGGTATTATGTGGTACTCTATGCATAAGTGCAATTTGCCACTCAATGTTCTAAAAGCATGTGGTTACACAACTTGTTTGATACACAGTACAGTACACCCAATAAGCATTTCAGTTTCTTCCAATAGGGTCTGGCTCCAGCAGGTACCATCTCACGCCACAGACACTGTGAGATGAGACAAGATGTCAATTGGTACCAAAGAGGACGCTGTGTTACTGCTACAAACAGCACGTGGTGAAATTACATTTAGAATTAGATGCTAGGTACTAACAAGTGTGTACTAGCTAGCTAGATAGCTAGCTAGTGTTGTACTAGCTAGTGTTGTACTAGCTAGTAAGTGTGTAGGGTGTTCACCCATAACATTAATTCATTCAAGGTTCATACAAATATGTCCATTCAATACAGAATTGCGTCAGAAAAGTAATAGTCCAAACCTCATGTCTCTACCATATATGGTTGAAACGTTACAGACGATTTACTCTGAGAATTGAGCATTTTTTGTATTTATTAGGATCCCCATTTGCCGCAGCAAAAGCATCAGCTACTCTTCCTGGGGTCCACATGAAACATTACATAATATATAGTAGAGAACATTATTAGTCAAGGACTGAAATACATACATTTAAAACATCACACATAGCCCACATATCAGTGCATACAGTACACACAATATCTAGGTCTAATACATAGTACAGTGCAAATTACAAGACATAAAATGTCTGTGTCTCTTCACAGTCCCCTTTGTGCAGTAAGGTGTTATTTTAACAGTTTTATTAAAACTGTTATTATTGCTAGCTTGAGTTACCTGGGCTGGCACAGAGTTCCATGTAGTCATGGCTCTATTTAATACTGTGCATTTCCCAGCCTTTGTTCTGGACCTGGGGACTTTGAAGAGACCTGTGTTTGCATGTCTTGTGTTGTACCGATGAGTGTCCGAACTATGTGCCAACTGCTTGAACAGACAGTTCGGTACCTTCAACACATCAATACCTCGCACAAGAACCCATAGTAATGCAGTCAATCTCTCCTCAACTTTGAGCAAGGAGAGACTGACATGCATGTTACTGACACTTCCCTCCGTGTACATCTAAGTGCTTTGTTCTAGACCAACTGCAATTTACATTATTTTTTATTTTATTTAATTTTTTTGTCATTTAGCAGACGCTCTTATCCAGAGCGACTTACAGTTAGTGAATGCATACATTATTTATAAAAAAATTCATACTGGCCCCCCGTGGGAAACGAACCCACAACCCTGGTGTTGCAAACGCCATGCTCTACCAACTGAGCTACACAGGGCCCATTTCCATGTTACATGTCATTCTTTTCCGCACATGACCGCATAGCTGGGCAGTAGTCTAGGTGCGACAAAACTAGGGTCTGTAGGACCTGTCTGGTCGACTGAGATGTCAAGAAGGCAGAGCAACGCCTTATCATAGACAGACCTCTTCCCATTTTAGCAACCATTGAGTCTATATGTTTTGACCATGAAAGCTTGCCATCTAGGGTTACATCCAGCAGTTTAATCTCGTTAACTTGCTCATTAGCCACATTATTCAATAATAGATCTAAACGAGGTTTACATTTACGTCATTTAGCATTGAGCTAGTGATTTGTCCCCAAAATTATGCTTTTAGTTTGAGATATTTAGCACTAGTAGAAAGAGGAGGAAGGGAAGCGCTACTAAGGTACACAATAGTAAATGTTGGTAGACAGAAGGTGCTCTTTGGTAAAAGGGGTGAATTGGTCATCAAAAAGAAAGGAGGACCAAGGCACTCTTCATATAATTAATTAAAATGCCTTTATTTGTATGGCATGTTCAATAGAAACAAGGTTTTTAAAATATCCGACACGTTTCGGCTGCATGGCGTTCGTCAGGGAGTACAAAGAAATAATACAATGTCCTATTGCTAGTTACCCATTCTAAAACTGACTGGAGCTCTATGTTAAGTGTCTCAGTTATTTATTTTACTGTTGCAGCCGACGTTTATACTGTTGAGTCGTCAGCGTACACAGGCTTTATTCAAGGTCAGTGGAAGGTCATTTGTAAAAACAGAAAACAATAATGGCCCTGGCCAGCTGCCCTGTGGTACACCACACAACTGAATTTGCATGAAAGAGGCTTCCATTAACAAAACCCCTCTGTGTTCTATTAGATAGGTACCTCTCAATCCATAATAAGGCAAGGGATGCAAATCCAAAATCCACCTAAGTTTTTTCAGCAATAGGTTATGATCAATGACATCAAAAGCTTCACTGGAGTCTAACAAAACAGCTCCCACAATCTTCTTACTATATATTTTTTTCAGCCAATCAGTCGTTTATGTCAGTGCCGATCATGTTCAGTGCCCTTCCCTATAAGCATGCTGAAAGTCTGTTAAGTTGTTTTCTGTAAAATCACTTTGTATTTGATCAAGCACTTGTAACAGACTGATTGGTCGGCTGTTTGAACAATTAAAGGGTGCTCTGCTATTCTTGGGTAGCGGAATGACCTTTGCCTCCCTCCATGTCTGAGGGCACACACAGTCTTCTAAGCTTAAATTGAAGATGTGGCAAACAGGAGTCACAATGTATTCTGCTACCAACCTCAGCAATTTACCATCCAGGTTGTCAGCACCAGGTGGTTTGTCCTTATAGATAGCAACAATTTTTTCAATTCTTCCACACCCACTTTGTGGAACTCAAAACTACAGTGCTTGTCTTTCATTATTTGGTCATCATGGGCATGATCAGAAAGTGGTCACTGCTCAATAGAACCAAAGATTTTTTATAGCTAACCCAAGATAGACCACAGCTTCTCGTTTCCAATGGGAGCAAAGGAATCATAGTGGTTAATCATAGTGGGCAGAGTGAAGCACGAGCTAGCAAGATCTATTGGCACGCTCTAGCATGTATTTGCATATTTCCGTTAGGGAACACCTACTCTGTGAAGTGTGCGTTTGCAATAACTCAATTCGCCCTTGCATTCCTAAACAAAGCAATTTTTTACAACTTAAGTCTACAAAATGTTGTCCACTCTGTTCGCAGTGGCGATTTTAGCATGTAAATCTTGGTGGGGCAAAAAAAAACAAAGTGGGATGCATGCCTGCAAAGCCACTACACAACACTAAACAATACATGAATTGCACTATAAGGGTAACCACAAACTGTTAGGGCCTACATAAAGCTGTCCCAACAGCAGAGTACCAACATCAGTCCCAACACCTTACCACTGCTACACCTGGCTATCAGCGGAGCCTTGTCTGGCAGCGAAACAGTTCATTCAGCCTCATTTACTGCCTTTTCAAAAAACATAGCCGATATGGCTGACTTGCTTAAACAAATGTGGTTTCTACTGACAATTGAGATGTACAAACTATGGCATAATGTACAAACTATGGCATAATGTACAAACTATGGCATAGTATTATCCCAGTTTACCTATTTGCTTATTGTCTTGCCTACGCCTAGCGAACAGTTTTTT